GGGATGCGAGAGCAGGGATGGGAGAGCAGGGATGGGAGAGGATAGCAGGGATGGGAGAGCAGGGATGGGAGAGCAGGGATGGGAGAGCAGGGATGGGAGAGCAGGGATGGGAGAGCAGGGATGGGAGAGCAGGGATGGGAGAGCAGGGATGGGAGAGCAGGGATGGGAGAGCAGGGATGGGAGAGCAGGGATGGGAGAGCAGGGATGGGAGAGCAGGGATGGGAGAGCAGGGATGGGAGAGCAGGGATGGGAGAGCAGGGATGGGAGAGCAGGGATGGGAGAGCAGGGATGGGAGAGCAGGGATGGGAGAGCAGGGATGGGAGAGCAGGGATGGGAGAGCAGGGATGGGAGAGCAGGGATGGGAGAGCAGGGATGGGAGAGCAGGGATGGGAGAGCAGGGATGGGAGAGCAGGGATGGGAGAGCAGGGATGGGAGAGCAGGGATGGGAGAGCAGGGATGGGAGAGCAGGGATGGGAGAGCAGGGATGGGAGAGCAGGGATGGGAGAGCAGGGATGGGAGAGCAGGGATGGGAGAGCAGGGATGGGAGAGCAGGGATGGGAGAGCAGGGATGGGAGAGCAGGGATGGGAGAGCAGGGATGGGAGAGCAGGGATGGGAGAGCAGGGATGGGAGAGCAGGGATGGGAGAGCAGGGATGGGAGAGCAGGGATGGGAGAGCAGGGATGGGAGAGCAGGGATGGGAGAGCAGGGATGGGAGAGCAGGGATGGGAGAGCAGGGATGGGAGAGCAGGGATGGGAGAGCAGGGATGGGAGAGCAGGGATGGGAGAGCAGGGATGGGAGAGCAGGGATGAAAGAGAATCATGGGAAAGACGGGACGGGGGGACACACAGTCTGAGGAGTGCAGTGAGCTTGCCGAGGGCATTAGGAAGGATGCCGTTGAGACGGTTGTCGGAGAGAGTTCTGTGGCAGGAGGGAGAGCGGAGGAGGTGAGATGACAGCTGGAAAATGTGGTTGTAACTTGTGAAGCATAGAGCGAAGCATAGAGAATGTCCAGTTCTATGGCAAGGGGGAGAGCAGAGACGGGGTCAAGAGAAGGAGGGAGAGTTGATAAGGTGAGTAAGGTTGGTTGAGAACATCAAGCACAAGAGGAGAGAATCAGCTCAAAAGTGCTTACAAGGTCTGCAGCTTGGCGAGGGTTGCAAGGGATTGCGTAACAGGGCGAATTGGAGTTTGAAAATGCTTTTGAAGAAATTCCAGACCAGATCGACCAGATCGAGGAGACTGGACGGATGGGCGCTGGTCTTTCTTACAGCGTTTGCAGCTTGGCGAGAGCCGCAAGGGATCGCGGAATCGAACCGGTTAGCTGGTTGTTATAGAGCCCTCTGTAATTGAAAGGGAAGATTATGGGGGGAGAAAAAGGGGAAGTGTTATTAGAAATGCGGAAAAGAATGATGAGGAACAGGACAGGGAAGAGGACGGGAAGAGAGCGGGGGAGAGAAGGGAAAAGAGGGGGAAGAGAAGGGGGGAGCGAAGGCGGAAGTGTTGGGTGAGGAGGAGGGGAAGCGGACAGCAACAACACAAGGGAAACAAGTGGGGAGAAACAGGGAATGGGCTAGGAGCAGAATCAATTAGGAAATAGGGTACAGAAGGAAGCAATAGAAAGGAGGAGGATAATAGAGGGGTTGAAATCCACACTGTGGGATGAGAGAGAGAGGAGACGGCAGCAGCACTGACAGGTAGGAGAGGTTGGTGAGATTTCCGATAGACTCTGGAATGACTCCTGTTAGCTGATTGGCTCCTAGGTTGCTGGAGCGAGGGAGGGGAGAGTGCAGGAAGGGAAAGAAGTGGATAAGAGATAAGGCAGCACTGACAGGTAGGAGAGGTTGGTGAGACTCCCAATGGACTCTGGAATGACTCCTGTTAGCTGATTGGCTCCGAGGTTGCTGGAGCGAGTGGGGGCAAAGCCCCGGAAGGAAAAGAAGCGGATAAGGGGTACGGCAGTGCTAACAAGTAGGAGAGGTTGGTGAGATTCCTGATGGACTCTGGAGCGACTCCTGTTAGCTGATTGGCACCAAAGGTTGCTGGAGATTGGGGAGGGAAGGGGACAGAAAGGGAGAGACTGCCTGATAGACTAGCGATTGCGCTGGAATGGGAGGGGGGCTGGTTCAAAGACTATAGGGGAGGAGGGCGGGCGGAAGGCGGAGTAGGAGCGTGTGTTGCAACTTACAGGTGAGCCAGGAGTGAGAGACTGCCGATTACAGATGGAATGGACCCCGCTAGCTGAGTGTTGTTGAGCGACCTGCTCTCGTGCACGCATGTGTGTGCGTATGTGTGTGGGCAAAAGGAGGAAAGGGCGACAACATGAGAAAAGGCTTGTAACGAACGACTTTGATGGAGAGTGCTGCTCTGCAAACTGCGTGTGCGGGCATGTACGATTACGGGCAACAGGAGGAGATGGCTTAGGAGAAGTCTTGGGACAAGTCTTGATGAAGCACTCTTCTTGCTGCTTGCTTCCCGACACGGGCTAGAAGAACGGCCATGCCATGACATGCCATGCCTCGACGACCATCCCAGGCAGCAGCATCTGAATGACCAGGAGAAAATAGTTACTAGGTAGACGACGAGCCGATTAACGACTGATAGTTTAGAGAAGAATCTATTTCTAAACACTCACATCTCAATGACCATGCCCTTGCCATCACACGTCAATCCGGTGCCTGGCGAGCAGTTGGGGAAAGTGCGACGCCACGCCTTGCCCAGAGCAGCTAGCACCAGGACTGATGAGGGAGATGGGTATGAGATGTTGAATGAATGTGGTTTCAGACGAGCGTAACGGTGTGTGTGACTATCATGAGAGTCATACCCGACAGCCTCGGCCAGTGCAGCTAGTACTGGGACTGAGGAGGGAGAAGGGTGTGAGATGTGGAATGAATTCCGGTTCTTCGACAGTAACCATGTGTGTGATTATATTGAGAGTGCGACCCCATGGCCTCGGCCAGTACAGCTAGCACTGGGACTGATGAGGAAGAAGGGTGTGAGATGTAGAGTAAATGTGGCTTCAACGAGTGGGTGTGCGATTATGATGAGAGTGACACCCCATGGCCTTGGCCGGAACAGCTAGCACAGCGATTGATGAGTAGTTTCAATCTGTTTTCACGCTACCAGTTCCAATACCCCAGGAACAAAGCGTTACACTACCTGACAATCAGTGTTACGTAAAATCTGCTCCAAGGACAAGTTTGAGATATCAAGGAATAGCAAGCTAATCTCCGTAGTGCGGAATCTGCCATAAGAACTAACTCATACACCTAAGAAACAAGCTGCATTACCTTGCGATGAATGTAGCTTGGAACTCGCTCCATATACCAACGCCGGAGCCGACTCGAAGGCCACAGCTACAAGCAGCAGCCCAGCAAATACTCCAAGAACCGGAATTCGCCGCATTTCTTCGATACGTGTACTGAAGGATAAGAGATTCCTTGCGGATACCACTTACGGATAGCTAAGCCTGAACAACTCTAATATGGAGACTATTGGGAACGGCGGGTGACGAAGCTGAGTTGAGCTGGGAACTATTTAGGTTATCTACGAGAAAGTTCTCTGAACCGACTAAGAATCAGCTGATAGACATTCGCGCTCGAGTTCTGCATATCAAATTAGAATGCAGCCTCTTGTCCATCTAGGCTTAGTTTTGTGGAGAAAGAAATTCTCTAAACGCACGGGAGAACATCGGATGCCGCCCTCAGGGTTCCAAAAATGACGGTACTACTTTGTCAGCTGGATTCGATAGTCGAGAGAAAGCGTGCAGCAAGATCAAGCTACGCGTGCGCATCACGTCACCATTATTGCCAGCAAACCAAGAAACTGAAGGGACGAGCGACAGCGTGATCCACGCATCCGTGTGGACACACGAGCAAACATATCCTCCATGGTTCCATGGCTCAGGACGGTTCCACACGGTTGAAAGCGGCTGTCAACTTTCACCGTTTTGCACCGCGACGAAACGAATTAGACCGCGTACATATTACAATAATTGTAGCTCAAGGTTCAATGGGTGGGTTGCCCGTGGTGGCGGTGGTGTGTTGGGTCGGTCGGGTGTTCACTCTGTTATGCCCAGCTCAGCGAAGTGGTAGGTTCAAGGGAATTCAAGCCAGGAAAGTCAGGGAAGTTTTCGCACACGCTGGAATTCTGTGGCGTGTTGGAGGATGCGCGAAACCCTAGGACGCGGGCGACGCTGAATGCGCATTCTAGTTGGTGAGAGTTGTCTCGGTCGGTAAGCCAAGGGATTGACGAGAAAATAAGCGATGCGAGGCAAGCGAAAGATGCTTGTGACAACCGACAGGATGGACCTGCCGGGACTTGTTGGGATGATTCCGTTCGGCTTGCGACTTCTTTGACTGACATTCTCATAAATTCGCAGCCGCCATGTGGGGTTTCGACTTCGCACCGTCGCACACCACATCACACACGACGCTTCGCCACCGCCTTGGCCGCAATTTATCCTCGCTACCAAATCATCCGTTCCTTGACTGTCCAGCAAGCTAGGAAAATCGGAATGCAAAATAGCACTCTGATCTAGGCCTACAATCATACTACACATGTAAGAGCTCCAACACCCAATGTGACCACAGAGTACCAGCGCGGAATGTATTAGCACTTTTAATTGGGCCACAGGACGCTCTTGAATCCATACAATACCTTCATAGTTGCATCCTATGCATCAACCAGCTCCTATCAACCACAATTTCAAATCAACTCAGACGAATCAATACATGGGGAGCATGTCTCATCCCCACGATCATCCGCATATGCTCCGGCGTGTAGCTTAACTCCTCCCCAAATATCCAGTAATACTAGCTCTGCTCATCACACACCGCCTCATACACCGCTGCTACGCGTCTGCCAGCACTCCTGCCACCAGCCCAGCAGCCTGCGCTGTGCCCTCAGATTCGCCACCCCCAGCGCCTCTAACTCAGGCAGCCCCAATCAGTCCTAGAACCCCCAACCCAACAACCCCTGATCAACACCTACCAAGCACGTCTCAAATGCCCAGAATCGTGCGCATGTGCTCGGGCGTGTGCCGCAACAACCCCCCAGCATCAGGATACTGGTTCCTTCCATCACACACCGCCTCATACACCACTGCATAAGCATCTGCCAGCGCCCCCGCCACCAGCCCTGCAGCCTGCGCCCTCAGCTTCGCCACTCCCAGAGCCTCAAACTCCGGCAACCGCCCCTCCGCCCCTGCCAACAGCGCAAAGAGCCGCTGCAGGGATTCCGCCACAGCAGAGGGGGACGCCTCTGGGAACTGGGCCAGGGGCGGGTACTGCTGTGGCGGGGGGTTTGCTGCTCCTGCTGCTGATACCTCTGCGCCTTCTTGCTGCTGCTGCTGTTGTTGCTGTTGCTGGGAGGCCTGGTTGATTTGAGCAATGAGGCGGAGGATGGGAGAGAGCATGCAGTGGTCGAGGATGGCAGCCACCTCGAGCTGCACCATGGCTGTGACGTGCTCTGAAAGCGCCCCTGCCAGCCCCTGGGAGTAGGGTGTGAGCACTGGGAATGGTACGAGGGGTGCGTGCAGTGCTGCGAGGCAGTTGGCGAGGAAAATGTGCCTTGCCACTGCCACCGCCTGGCGGGGGGTGTGGGGGGAGGGGGGATGTGGGGGGAGGGGGAATACAGGTGCTTAGAGGAGGAAAGGAGGATGGGGGAGAGCATGCAGTGGTCGAGGATGGCAGCTACTTCGAGCTGCACCATGGCTGTGACGTGCTCTGAGAGCGCCCCTGCCAGCCCCTGGGAGTAGGGTGCGAGCACTGGGAAGGAGGCGAGGGGCGCGTGCAGAGCGGGCAGGCAATTGGCAAGGAAAATGTGCCGTGCCACTGCCACCGCCTGATGTGGGGGGAGAGGTGGGGGTGTGGCAAGCAGGGGGATGCAGGCAGCAAGAAGGGACAGGGTATGATGTTCACAGCACGAGCAAAGGGGGCAGAGGGCGTGCAGGGTCGTGGGACAGTTGGCTTGGAAAATGTGCCGTGCCATTGCCACCGCCTGATGAGGGGAGACAGGTGGGGCGGATGGGAATGGGGGGGACACAGGTGATTAGAGGGGGTACAGTAGGTTGTTGACAGCATTGAAAGGGTGCGAGTGGCGCGTGCAGGGCTGCGAGGCAGTTGGCCAGGAAGATGTGCCGTGCCACTGCCACCGCCTGGTGGGGGGAGAGGGGGGGGGAGGATGGGAGGATGGAAGGATGGTGAAGAACAGGGGTGGGAGGAGGTGGGAAGCAAGTGGGCGAGGTGGGGTGGGGAAGAGTGCTCGAGGGGAGTCATACTGCTCACCGTGCCATGAGCACTCACCGTGCTCTCAGCCCCCTCAGTCTCCCCCTCAGTGGCCTGCCTGCCCAACAGCAGAGACCACTCACCAGCTCACAAACACTCACTGTGTTCTCCGTCCCATTGTCCTGCTCCTCAGTAGCCCACCTGCCAAGTGGCAACGACCCTCTTCTCCCCATCGGAAGAGACGCCCTTCCCCCTCAGCGGGCTGCTCTCCCGCCCCTTACCCCTCGCCTGCTGCTCACTGTGCTGACCTCGCTCTCACAAACACCTCGCTCTCACAAACACCTCGCTCTCACAAACACCTCGCTCTCATAAACACCTCGCTCTCATAAACACCTCGCTCTCATAAACACCTCGCTTTCATAAACACCTCGCTCTCACAAACACTCACCGTGTTGTCCGTCCCATCGTCCTGCCCATCAGTAGCCCGCCTGCCCAGAGGCACAGACCCTCTTCTCCCCAATGGCTGGCTGTCCCCCCCTGCTGCTGCAGACATGGATGCGGAAGAAGAGGCGCGACGAGGGAGAGAGGAGGAGCCCGAGGAGAGAGCAGTCACGGCCTTTGCTGTGAGGGCCTGTGCTGCCCGCGTGCACACCTGCAGGTGAGGAGGAGGTGGGGCAGGCGGGTGGAGATCTTATTTCTGAGTCGTCTCAAGAGCACACAAGTGCAACGTGGCACGCGGAACAGAGGCGTAGCCCGTCCTGGAGGTACGTCCTGACAACAAGACCAGCAGCGCCTGCTCTCTCATCAGGTTAGGCCTCTGTTGCTCGAGCCTGCCCTGGAGCCCGTTGCCCGTTGCTCCGTCCTGGAGCCCGAGAAGAGAGCAGTCACTGCTGGCCTTGCTGTCAGGACGTACCTCCACTAAGGGGTCCAGGAGAGAGCAGCAGCGACATGCAGAAAGTTTGATTTGGCAGCCCCAGCAGGCACCATCATGCTCACATGCGCCTCTCCCATTCCCACAAGCGGGTGCAAACAGCGGTCAAAGGATACAGCACGGGGGTTACCACTCACTCACCTCCACAAAGGGGTTCCAAGAGCGCGAGCAGCAGTGACGGGAAGAAAATCCAGTTTGGCAGCCCCAGCTGGCACCATCATGCATGCTGACATGCGCCTGTAGCAGCTCCAACACCACCGCCACGCCTTCCCCATTCCCTCCCATAAGAGGATGGGGAAAGGTGTCTGAGGGTACAGCAGGGATTACCATTCACTCACCTCCACAAGGGGGTCCAGGAGAGCAGCAGCAACAAGCAGGAAGTCGGGTCTGGCAGCCCCAGCCGGCACCATCATGCTGGCATGCGCCTGCAGCAGCTCCAACACCACTGCCACTCCCTCCCCCACTAGCGGCGGGGGGGAGAGGTCGGAGGGCACTGCCGGGGGGAAGCGGGAAGACGACGTACCTCCACAAGGGGGTCTAGCAGCGCAGCAGCAACGGGAAGAAAATCCGGTTTGGCAGCCCCAGCAGGGACCATCATACTCGCATGCGCCTGGAGCAGCTCCAACACCACCGCCACTCCCTCCCCCACCAGAGGCGGGGGAGAGAGGTCGGAGGGCACTGCTGGGGGGAAGCGCAGCACACGGTCTCCCCTGAGCTTGACTGCGTCGAGGAACGCCCGCCCTGCTGCTTCGCTGAGGTCCCTCAGAACCACGCACAGCGCTGCTTGCTCTCCCAGCAGCTCTGCCACCTGAGTGAGGAAAGGTTGAGGTGAGGAATGAGGACAAAACTCAGAACGGGGTGGACTAGAGGTTTGGAGGACGTGAGAATAAAAGGAGGTGCTACCCGGTGGGAAGCCTACTGCGCGACAGTTAATAAAGGAGAGAGAGAGAGAGAGAAAAAACGTGTGACAATAGAAGAGACAACTAGCCATGTGACAACAAGAGGAGCACAACTCACCGTGTGACAGTAGAAGGAGAGGAGGCTGGAGAGCTTGTAGCACAGCACGAGCCCTGGCTGCCCCGTCAGCACCTGCTCCACACGCACTTTGAATGGCCGGCACACGCCCTCAAAAACGCGGTCAAGCACTGCTGCCACGTCAGCATCCACTCCTCCTGCCGTTGCTCCTCCTTCTCCTGATCCGGCTCCTTCTGATGGTCCAGACTCTGCTGACGTGGAAGAGGGTTTATCTGTGCTGGCGAAAAGAGCAGCGGCGAGCTCTTTTTCTGAGGCTAGTGCCTGGGGGAGGGACAGGGAAAAAGGGGAGGAAAGAGGGGAGGGAGTGAGCCACGTCAGCATGCCTCACTTCTGGTGCAGACACGTCAGCATGCCTCAATTGTGGTGCAGACACGTCAACATGGATGACCTGCTGCATCTACGTCAGCTTGTCTGACTCACCTGGTAGAGCCACGTAAGCATGCCCTTCTCCCCTGGTATAACCACGTCAGCATGTCTGTCTTACCTGGTGCAGCCATGCCAGCATGTCGCCCACGTATCGCAGCGGATCGTGCGCATGCACCTCAATGGGACGAGGCATGCCGCCCGGCCCTCCGCGGGTGAGAGCAGCAATGAAGCGGCGGAAGAGTGCGTTGTGGCGTGTGTTGGCCACCTGGAACAGAGGGCAATAGAGAAGAGGAGGGGCGGGGAGGGGGGGAGGAGGGGGGGCATTGGTGTAATCATGGAGGGTAAAGAAGGGAAGGGGGATGAGAGCAGCGATGAAGCGGCGGAAGAGTGCGTTGTGAAATGGGGTAGAGAAGGGTTGAAGTGGGAACGGGGTGGAAGGAATGAGCGCAGCAATATGCAATGTGACCACTGAGTAGAAAATACAAAGATAACAGCAATACTCAATGTGACAGTTTCCACGCCACTCCAGTTGAAATAAAAGTCTTCATACCCGCACTTTCAAACGCTTTTGAAACGTGCACTTCGCAAACTACTCACACTGCAAGTTCTAAAAGCGTTTGAGAGTGTGTGTATGAAGGCTTTTATTTCAACCAGAGTGGCGTGGTGAACCAGCTAGTCACAGGAAGTGAGAAGCAGGGCAGCACAGGTGTGCACGCGGGTAGCACTATGTGAATATACAGTCTCGATATGACACGAAGCGAGAAGTAGGGTAGCACAACATGTCGTTGCTGGAACGACTCCCCAGTGAAGCACCTCGCCTCCTCACTGCACAACCACAAACACGCATTACCTCCTCGGTGCAGTAGAGGAAGAGCACGGGGCAGTACTTGAGGCAATGCGCCGCTGTGTGCAGCATAGGGGTTCGGCCCACTAGCTCATCTCCTCAGTGCGCCAATCACCTCACCTCCTCTGTGCAGTAGCGGAAGAGCACGGGGCGGTCCTTGAGGCAATGCGCTGCAGTGCGCAACAGAGGGCCCACTTCCGGTGTGTCCCCATCGCTGTCCCCCAGGCTGCGACACTCCGCCTGCACCCATCTGTGTAAGGGATGGGTGAGGGACGGACAGAGGGAGGGACGGAGGGCAGGTATGCATGTCCTTTGATTGAGAAAGGGCCCACTTCCGGTGTGTCCCCAGGCTGCGACACTCTGGAGACCAAGGAAAGGTGCGTGAGGGATGGAGGGAGGAGGGCAAGCATCTCACGCACATGCTTCAGCTGTGAGAAAGAGCCAATATCTGGTGTGAACTCCTGTCGCCCAGGCTGCAACACTCCGCCTGCACCAGCAGATTCGCTCATCTCGCCCTTCCTGGTACAATGCTATCAGATCCATCAGCTCCTGCTCTTAGCGCACCTCATTCCTCCCCTTTCCCCACGTCCGCTCTTCCCCACGTTCATCTCACCTGCACAGTCGCTCATACGCCCCCTCCTGGTACACCGCCATCAGATCCATCAGCTCCAGCCCCGCCCTCTGGGGGGAAGAGGAGAAAGGAGGGATGGAAAAGCAGGAGAACGGGCAAATGCTGGCATGCCTGATGGTGAGATCCAGATGCGTTGCATCTGGCCGTTGGATTCATGAGCACAAAATGAGCTTCTGAGAGGGGAGGCGGGGAAGGTGGGAGAGGCTGGCAGGGAAGGAGAATAGTGCCCAAAAAGTACAATCTCCTCAGCCCGCCTGTCAGCCTTTCTACCTTTGGAAAGGGCGAAACTTCAAGAATTTTCACAGATAGTGTTAAAAAACATAATGTGTCGGAGAACCACCTCATCCTTGCAACCTGCTCTTCCTCTTGTCACTCCCTTGCCTTCCTTCTCCTTACGTTGCGAGCGCGTCCTCCGCGACGGCGGCGTTTCCCGACGCGAGTACATCTGCTGCCAGCGCAGCTCGTGGCAGTCCATACTGCCCAAACGTTCTCTCGGCTTTTCTCCTGTTATGAAAGAGTTTCCTCCCTCATCCCGTAGGTCCTCCCATAGTGGCGTGCCACCGGATGCTAGATCTGAGGTAACAGCTTTCCACTAATATGAGAGAATAACAGGAGAAAAGCAACGAGAGGGTGTTTGGTACTGAATTTACCTGAACCTGGCTCAGTCGCACACTTCTCGATGTGCGCCTCGAGCCAGGCCCAGTTTCTTCAGATTGGTTCGTTAGATTCCCACCCCTCGATGTTTCCTCTAACCCTTCCCAACAACTTCGCCTCAACCCCCCATACTCCCCAACAACTCACCCACAAATTGTAATCATACAAAAACTACACCTGAACCTACACTTGCATCTACACCTGCGCACCAACTGTTATCGCATATGCACGAAGTGCATATTCGGTGACAAATGGAAGGTGGGTAATAGGATAGTGATCGCAGAGCACACAGCAGAGGGGTTAAGTTTTGAGGCGCCTCAAAAAGAGGATAGTGATCGCAGAGCACACAGCAGAGGGGTTAAGTTTTGAGGCGCCTCAAAAAGAGGATAGTGATCGCAGAGCACACAGCAGAGGGGATACCTGGTGGTGGGTGCGCAGCAGCAGCTTGCAGTTGGCATGAATCTCGTGCACTCGGTTGAGCGCCTCAAAGAACTTCTCACTGATCTCGTCCTCCCGCAATGCTTGCACCTGAGGCGGTGTGGGGCAAGGATGGGAGCAAGAGAGACGGAAACAGGAACACAAGGCAGCAAGATAGGAATGGGTATGACAGCCATAAACCTCATGCACTCGGTTCAGCGCCTCGAAGAACTTCTCGCTGATCTCGTCCTCTCGCAGTGCTTGCACCTGAGGTGGAGTGGGGCAAGGATGGGAGAAAAAGAGAAGGAAACTACAGGTTGAATGGCGGGCCAGCTGCTGGCAACGCACAGTGATAACCAGCTTCAATAGTAACCAGCTCTGATGGTAACCAGCTGTGATAGTAACCAGCTCTGGTGTAACCAGCTCTGATGGTAACCAGCTGTGATAGTAACCAGCTCTGGTGTAACCAGCTCTGATGGTAACCAGCTGTGATAGTAACCAGCTCTGGTGTAACCAGCTCTGATGGTAACCAGATGTGATAGTAACCAGCTCTGGTGTAACCAGCTCTGACAGCAGACACAAATCTCACCTCCTGTGGAGACAGCTGGTAGCTTCTGTGAAAGGCTGTGACGAAATGCTGGTGGCACAGGTGGTAACCAGCCAATGGTGGTAACCAGCTCATGATGGTAACCAGCTAATTATGGTAACCAGCTAATTGTGGTAACCAGTTAATTGTGGCAACCAGCTCATGATGGAAACCAGGTCATGGTGGTAACCAGACTAATTTTTGAAGCTCTCACAGTCTCACCTCCTGTGGCGAGAGCTGGTAGCTTCTAAGGAAGGCGGCGACGAGCTGCTGGCGGCGCACAGTGGTAACCAGCTCCAGCTTGAGCCTCTCTGTTGCCAGCACCATGTCCCCTGTTGTTGACGCACACGTGGTCAGTGCTGCACCGATTCTGAATAGGAGAGAGAAAAAAATATAGGGGAAAAAGGAGAGCGACAAAGGATATGGTATGGCAGCTTGAGCCTCTCTGTGGCCAGCACCATGTCCCCTGTTGTTGACGCACACGTGGTCAGTGCTGCACCGATCCTGTGTCGGTGGCAAGGGAAAGCAGATAGAAAGCAGAAGAAGAAAACAGGGACAAGCGAAACAGTTTCTGTCAGACTACTCATCTCTATCAAGTTAGCAGCCTCTGCCACTCTCCGTTGGTCTCTGTCAGCCTCTATCAATCTCTGTCAGGCTAGCAGCACTCTATAGTGGTCGGCACACATGTGGTCATGCGGAGTCCATTTCGAGGGTAGAGAGGGACGAAAGAGGGTAGAAGCCGCACTAACGTTCTCTGTCAGATGAGCAGTCTTGGTCAGGTAAGCAGTCTATGTCAGTTTAGCAGCCTTTGTCAGGTAAGCAGTCTCTTTCAGTTTAGCAGCCTCTGTCGGGTAAGCAGTCGCTGTCAGTTCAGCAGCCTCTGTCGGGTAAGCAGTCTCTGTCAGTTCAGCAGCCTCTGTCGGGTAAGCAGTCTCTGTCAGTTCAGCAGCCTCTGTCAGGTAAACAGTCTCTGTCAGTTTAGAAGCCTCCGTCAGGCTAGCAGTCTCGGTCAGTTTAGCAGCCTCTGTCAGGTTAGCAGTTACTGTTGAACAAGTGTGGCTGGACAACAAACCTTACAATGCCACTTGAATGTGACTGTACGAACCACCTCTCAGAAGCGGAGGACCAGGAACGCTGAACTAACCAACCAACCAAATCTTGATACTTACTGCCTACCAGGACTGACAATGTGTGCAGTGCAGTGGATGATACCAGGACTACCAGGTGAAAACGAAGCACGACACGTGTTACAAGCAGTATTACTTTTTTGGCGCCTCAAAAATCGTCTAAAGGCAAGAGAACCTCCACCTCACACACACGCCTCTTCCCCCACACGCTCACCTGTCGCAGCACTCTGCAAGGCCCCGAACCTCCGCCTCTACCACATCTAGCGCCTGGATTAGGTGGGGTCGGAAGGGGAAAAGTGGTGCGGGGAGTGAGGAGGGGAGACGGAATGAGGGAAATGCATATGCAGATTCAGATTCAAATGCAGATGCAGATTCTCATCCGATGAATCTTGGTGCACTTTCCGCAATCTTTCGTGTCCCAATGAATCAGTACTGCCATCATGACTCGTTACTGGCAACATGATAGCTTGTTGTCCCGAGCAACAGAATCCAGGCCTTCTGAGTTGCATCATAAACACCATCTGGTACCTCTTGAGCAGCTTCCGACGCCTGAAGAAATTCCTCGTTAATAGCCAATCCTCTACGTTCAATCGTGGACTTCAAAGCGCGCCGATTGGCCAACGAGTTTTCGCGGTAGAAGCCCGAAAGTGCGCCCAGTGCTGCCAGCAGCTCGGGGGAGTCCGTGCGCGTGTCGAGGACCTTGCGCAACTTGCGCGCAAGCCCCGCTGCGAGTGAAGAGGAGGCGGAAGTGGAAGTCCCACCGGAAGCGGAGATTCCTGCGGAAGCGGAAATGGCTGTTGATGAGGAGGAAGACGACGAGGAAGCCGATGCGGAAGCCATTTCGCTCGGCGAGAAACGGCAAGGCCGTTTACGATATACCTAAGAGCTCTCGAGAGTCACTAAAAAGTTCCCTACTACTCGACACGTCGCGGCGCGTCGACTTCTAACATCTCTTCCTCGAGCCTTGGGACAATCAGTGCCAACCAGGCAGACAAGCCTTGTTTCACAAGTGTGAGAAGGGGTGATACTTGGTGTGCTTCAATCAGATGTGTTACGCTGCACAACGGTTCGTCTATACAATGCAGTGGTTGGCTAGGGTTTAGAGCGTAAAGTATTTTGACACTTGAGCTGCAAGAGTCGATCAACTTTTGACAACATCTGGGACCTTGGGAACATCTGTTACAATTTCCAGATTCAACCTCGAAGCTACGAAAACAGGGAGCTCGTGCAGCCACTTAACGACTTCGCAGCCGCTGCGACGGTCGCAAAGTTATGGCAAAGTTACAATGGTAGGTCTCAAAAGGAAAATCATATTACCGCTAAAATCAACTTCAGATACGGTATGAGAAAATAGTGATCAAGGTTTAAGGAATTTTATCCGTGGCAACTCTGGTAGTTTGACACCAATAACCAAAGCGTGGTGAAGAACCTCTTTACACACCAGCCTACAAGCACCAACTACTTCACTTAAGCTGAAGCGGACTGGGAGGAACAATGGACTTGAGAGCACTCTTTGCTGAAGGTAAAGTGGCAGGGGGGTCATCCTCCTTTACCCGCGCATACACCTGCCATGGCAAGACAGGGCAAAAAATGAGCATGCATTTTATGGACCGAAGCTCAACATTCCAAGGTGCAATGCCGCTGGAAGAAAATTGCCTGCACGTGTTAGGGAGTACACACAGTAGCTCACCTGGCAGGTTCTAGATGGTGAGAGAACTAGGAGGGAGCAGCAGCGGTTGTTGAAGTTTGTTTCCGGGCGGCCTGGAATGCCTTCGGGTGATGTGAAGTGGTCCACGTCATGGCCTACCTGAACTCGGGCAGAGCAAGAAAAAAAAGAGAGAAAAAGGAAGAAACAGAGCAACACACAGGACAGGTGTGAAAGCCGGAAAGCAAGGGAAGGGAACGGGAAAATGAGATGGCAAAAGGGGGAGCACACGAAAAGAGTATCCGCCGAGAGCGTGGAAATGGTGTGGCATACCTCCCTCTCATAAACTAATAATTGATGAACCCCTGGCCTGTCTTTCCTGCCTCCCCATCCACACTCTCCACAGCACCACACATTGCACCATCACCATTCACAACGGCTATATCTGTGTGACTTTTGAGAATTCTCAAAAGTCACACTAATATAACGGCACCATCCGACCCCTCACCCTCTTCCACTTGTAACTGTGCTGCAGTGGTGCTGCCTTTCCAACTCTTCACCAATCCCTTTCTTTCTCTCCACTTCTACCCCCCTCCCCCCACCACCCCATCTTAACTGTTTACACAATGTTTGCAAGAAAACCTGCTCAGGAAGAATACATTTCTTTCCCAGTAAAGCCTGGCTGCTCATAACTTCGAATACTGAGAGATCGCACTTGAAACCTACACTCCTGCTCCGTAATCATTCTTCTCTGCCTCCAAACTGACTACTCAAACCATGAACTTTCACCCATTCATCCCTTGCTCCAAGAATCGAGAGCATCACTGTCAAGCCCACTCCCCACCCTCCCCCTCCCTCTCCCCCTCCCCCTTCCCCTCCCCTCCCCCTCCCCTCTCTCTACCCAAAAACCTTACTGTCCAGCACCACTCTCCACCACTTGCCAGGCTCCTTGCATCCCACCTTGTCACTCCCTCTACTGCCTCAAACTCACTCCGCCGCTCCTCTACCCACTTTACTCACCCGCCCCTGGCCCCCGAATTCAATGGCGTCACTGTCCAGAACCACTCGCCACTTGCCCGGCTCCTTGCACCCCACCTTGTAGCTGTGGGGGTAGGGGAGCGAGACAAGAGTGGGTAGTTTGGGGAACAGGGATTACAGGGGGGGAGGATCGTGAGTGGATGATTCTTGCAAGCACCACGCACTCGCCACTTGCCAGGCTCCTTGCACCCCACCTTGTAGCTGTGGGGGCAGGGGATGGGGACAAGAGCAGGGTGAAAGGAGTATGGGAAAGAGTGAGTGAAAGATAGTCGCATGCGCACCACTCACCACCTGCCAGGCTCCTTGCATCCATCCTTGTGCCTGTGACTGTGAAGCCAGGCGAGGGAATGGGGACAAGAGCGGGATGAGAGGAGCATTGAAAGAGTGAGTGAAAGATAGTCGCACGTGCACCACTCACCACCTGCCATGCTCTGGGCATCCGACCTTGTACCTGTGAAGCCAGGCCGAGGAAACGAGGAGGAGACTGCACGAGAAGGGGTGCATGGGGAGCGAGAGACGTACCCATAATAGGTTTTAGTGGGATGGAAGTTGAAGGCTAAAAGGAGAAGGGGGCGGGGAGAGTGAAAAGGGAGCACAAGCAGCGAGGGACTAATGAGGTGTCTCAAAAGGAGGACGCACAAGCAACGACTGAATTTCGCCTCACAGATCATAGGGGAACGAAGCATGAAAGAACAGCAGAAGAGGCACCCTCGTGGGTCTTAGTAGGATGGAAGTTGAAGACTAGGAGAGTAAGGACGGGGGAAGAGGTGAAGGAGGAAAGAGAGGGTGCATGAGAGAGCAGCAAGGAACGTACCCCTCGTAGGTTTTGGTGGGATGGAAGTTGAAGACGAATAGGAGATCGCCCCTCTCAAACACAATCACCTGCATGAAATTCAGTGAGGGAGGTTGGACAAAATGAAACAGCACACAGGATATAAGAAGGCTTCAGCTCATGGGTCGCTTTCGAAATTTCTCAAAGACCAAGAGGGCATTGCAGCTCTCAAATACAAAGAAACACTCACTCACTCACTCCCACTTAATCACTCACTCACTCCCACTCAATCACTCGCTCACTCCCACTCACTCACTCACTCACTCACTCCCACTCAATCACTCACTCACTCCCACTCACTCCCACTCACGCGCTCCCACTCACTCACCCGGTCCTTCTCGTCTGCACTGGACACGATCTGATGGTCGGCAGCAAGGAAGTGATGCTTCTCATCCAGAGCGTTCATTGCCTGGTCAAACCGATTCATGTGCTGCAAGGAGAGTTGGGACGAAGGGGTAACAAAAGAGGGGTGGGGATGGGGAAGGGGGGGGGAGAGAAGGGAGGAAGGGCATGTGTGACGATACTAGTTGAAGGGAGGAAGGGCATGTGTGACGATACTAGTTGAAGGGAGGAAGGGCATGTGTGACGATACTAGTTGAAGGGAGGAAGGGCATGTGTGACGATACTAGTTGAAGGGAGGAAGGGCATGTGTGACGATACTAGTTGAAGGGAGGAAGGGCATGTGTGACGATACTAGTTGAAGGGAGGAAGGGCATGTGTGACGATACTAGTTGAAGGGAGGAAGGGCATGTGTGACGATACTAGTTGAAGGGAGGAAGGGCATGTGTGACGATACTAGTTGAAGGGAGGAAGGGCATGTGTGACGATACTAGTTGAAGGGAGGAAGGGCATGTGTGACGATACTAGTTGAAGGGAGGAAGGGCATGTGTGACGATACTAGTTGAAGGGAGGAAGGGCATGTGTGACGATACTAGTTGAAGGGAGGAAGGGCATGTGTGACGATACTAGTTGAAGGGAGGAAGGGCATGTGTGACGATACTAGTTGAAGGGAGGAAGGGCATGTGTGACGATACTAGTTGAAGGGAGGAAGGGCATGTGTGACGATACTAGTTGAAGGGAGGAAGGGCATGTGTGACGATACTAGTTGAAGGGAGACGTGAGAAGGGAAGAGAGACACGGAGGGTGGGCAGGTAGGGTGCTGCATTGCTCCCACCTGGTACCGTGTTGCTCTCACCTGGAACCGCATTTCTCCCACCTGGTACCGCATTGTTTTCACCTGGTACCGCAGCAGCTTGTCGTCTCTGAGGTGCCACATCCACTGGAAGTGGTGAGAATCCCTAACCTCCAACCACCTGTGCCTGATAGCAACTATTAACTAGTGTGCCACACCACACACGACATACACCGCACCACTCATATCTCACCTGGCACCGCATTGCACCCACCTGGTAGCGCAGCAGCTTGTCGTCTCGGAGGTGCCACATCCGCCGGCAGCGGTCGTAGCTCCAGTTGTTGCCCTCCCTGGGGAAGTCAAGCCACTCGGGATGCCCAAACTGATGGGGGATGAGGGATGAAGGATGAGGGATGAGGATGGGGGCATAGGGGAGATAGGTCAGGGATATAGGCAGCAACAGTCGTAGCTCCAGTTGTTGCCCTCCCTGGGGAAGTCAAGCCACTCGGGATGCCCAAACTGATGGGGGATGAGGGATGGGAGATGAGGATGGGGGCAGAGTGAACATAAAGTCAGGGTTATAGCCCAGGGTCCGGGGTGTCAGCAGCAGCGGTCGTAGCTCCAGTTGTTGCCCTCCCTGGGGAAGTCAAGCCACTCGGGATGCCCAAACTGATGGGGGATGAGGGATGAAGGATGAGGGATGAGGATGGGGGGAGATAGGTCAGGGATATAGGCAGCAACAGTCGTAGCTCCAGTTGTTGCCCTCCCTGGGGAAGTCAAGCCACTCGGGATGCCCAAACTGATGGGGGATGAGGGATGAAGAGTGAGGATGTGAGGATGGGGCAGAGGAGAGGAGGTGAGGAGTACAAGCAGGTTTTTTCTTCTTCTTCTTCTTCTTATACGTTCCAGAAAATCAGATCCCCCACGTGCACATCGCACAGTTATATTGGCCAGTTACATATATACAGTCACACTCCAATACATACAGTATATAGATATAAAATCTCATCCCATACATTGCTGCTCTCGAAATTGAGGTAGCCATCGCCTGCCAACCACTAATAACACGCATCCCTGTCAAGTGTGCTACAGCAGTGAACAACCACATCTGTTCCAGTCACAGTCACATCCATTCAGTCGCATCCATATCAGTCACATCCATTCAGTCACATCCATATCAGTCACATCCATTCAGTCACATCCATATCAGCCACATCCATTCCATATTCCACACCTCATTGCCCATGAAGTTGAGGTAGCCATCGCCTCCCAGCGCCATGGTGATGAAATGAATCATCTGGTGGAGGGAGGGGAGGGGAGGCAGGGGAGAGGAGAGGGGAGGGGAGGGGAGGGGAGGCAGGGGAGAGGGGAGGGGAGGCAGGGGAGAGGAGAGGGGAGGAGGGGCGGGCAGAGAAGTGGAAAGGGTTGGGGAGGGCTGAAGTTGAGGTAGCCAACGCCTCCCAAGCCATGGTGATGAAATGGATCATCTGGGGAACAGGTGGGGCGGGGAGGGAGAGGGGGGGAGGGGAGGAGAGGGGAGAGTGGGGACGGACGGAGAGGAGAGGCATAAAAAGGTGTGTGGATTCGTAGAACGTTTGAGTTAACCCGCAACGCTCGAGAAATTAGAAAAGACGCAGAGGGTGGAAAATGGCGGCAATAAAAGAACATAGAAGGGATTAGAACGAGTTAGCTCTGCTGGATCTAGGTCGAAACTACTTTCTTATGCTGGAGGTCGGAGGAGGTGACTTTTGAGTCGACTCAAAGGTCACCTCATTACCCACAATTTTTATTCTTATGCTAGAAGAACATGCTGGAGGTCGGTCGGAGGCTTGTCAAAACTGTGCTGGCCAAGGCAACGCCCCTCGCGACATCGCGTTATGGCTTCTGAAGCGCAGACATGTGAGATGCACATGTGCATGCATGCATACACGCATTCACGCGCACAGTTCTTCTTCCCACAGCAGCTCACCTTGTGCAAAGCAATGCCTCTCTCGACAGCAGGAGTGGGCTTCTCAAGCACAGACATGTGGAAATACATGTCTGAATCCATTAAGAGAAAGGCGAACGACTTGTCTCCTACCATGGACTGGGAGGGAGAGGGCGGGCAGGGGGCACAGGGCTCAGGGCACAAGGAGTGAGGGCAACGACAGCAGGAGTGGGCTTCTCAAGCACAGACATGTGGAAATACATGTCTGAATCCATTAAGAGAAAGGCGAACGACTTGTCTCCCACCATGGACTGCGGGGGTGGGGGAGGAGAGGGGGTTTGAAAGGGTGGAAGGACAGAGCACAGGGCACAGGGCTCAAGGTGTGAGGATCAGGACGGCAGGGGGGGTTGGCCTCTCAAGCACGGACATGTGGAGGATCATGTGTGAGTCCATGAGCAGGAAGGCGACGGACTTGTCTCCCACCATTGACTGGGGGGAGAGTGGCGGGCGAGAGGAGAGGGGGGTGGAAAGGGGGAGGGCATAGAGCAGGGCATAGGGCACAAGGGGTAAGGGTAATGAGAGCAGGGGTTGGCCTCTCAAGCACGGAAATGTGGAGGATCATGCGTGAGTCCATGAGGAGGAAGGCGAAGGACTTGTCTCCCACCATGGACTGATGGGAAACAAAGACGGAGGGGCGGGGGTGAAGGCGAAGGAAGGCGAAGGACTTGTCTCCCACCATTGACTGGTGACGCACAAAGGACGGGACGGGGGGAGAAGGTGGACTGGGAAGGGGGGCCTGAGCAGAGCGAGGTGGGGGATGAGGGTGGAGAAAGAGGGGAACACAACACAGGACACGCTGGGCAAGAATTGAAAGACGAGTAACGGCAGCAGGGATGGATGGGATTGATGGGCAGCAACACGTGTCAAGACCATTCAAGCCACCATGTGGAAAAACGACAAGAGAGGCACAACGTCGCCTTGAGAATCTCACCCATTCGTGCCTCTTGCCTGCTCATGCCTCTCACCTGGTCATGGCTCTCCGCATAGGCAACACATTTCTCCGTATATCTCCGATTCGTCAGCGTGTGAACAATCTCCCGCATGCTCCACTCCTCGTCCCTCCGATCCTTCAAATACTCGATCCAACGGTCAGGAATCGCCATGGCAAGCCGGTAATCAAACCCCACCCCTCCAATCGGCACCGGCAGGCCCAGCGTCGGCATCCCCGACACATCCTCCGCGATCGTCGTCGCATCAGGCCGCACCCCGTGAATCAAATCATTTGCCAGCATGAGATACACCACCGCATCAACATCCGTAGACGTCGAGAAATACTCGTGATACTCTCCAGAAAACGACATTCCGATCCCCCGGTGGTGGTACAGCATAGACGTCACCCCGTCAAAGCGAAACCCGTCGAACTGAAACTCCTCAAGCCAATACCGGAGGTTGGAGAGCAGAAACCGCAGCACCTCCCAGTTGGAGTAATTAAAGCACCGGCTGTCCCACAGCTTGTGATACCCCCGCTCGCCCGTGTGGAAGTACGAATCGGCCGCCGACTGCCCGAAATCAAACCCGTTGAGCCCGTCGGAAACGTTGTTGCTCGCATGGGAGTGAATCAAATCCATGAGCACACGAATCCCGAGGGAATGCGCCGTGTCCACCAGATACTTGAGATCTTCCGGGGTGCCGGATCGGGAGCTGACGGCGAAGAAGTTGGTAACGTGGTAACCGAAGGATGCGTAGTAGGAGTGCTCGGCGACGGCCATGAGCTGGATGGTGTTGTAGCCGGCGGCCTTGATGCGTGGGAGTACAGAGTTGGCGAAATGCACGTAGGAGGCCACTCGAGGCTCCTCCGAACTCATCCCCACGTGGGCCTCGTAAATGCGCGGGGCGTCAGGCTTGGGTGGGCGCGGGCACTTGAACTGGTACCTGTTAAACGGGAGGGGATGGGAATGGGGGAGGAGAAAAAGTCAACCGAAGGATGCGTAGTAGGAGTGCTCAGCGACGGCCATGAGCTGGATGGTGTTGTAGCCGGCGGCCTTGATGCGTGGGAGTACAGAGTTGGCGAAATGCACATAGGAGGCCACTCGAGGCTCCTCTGAACTCATCCCCACGTGGGCTTCATAAATCCGTGGGGCGTCAGGCTTGGGTGGGCACGGGCACTTGAACTGGTACCTGCAGTGCAGGGAGCAGAAACAAGGGGGCGGGGAGAGGCGACAGGGGGTGGGAGGGAGAGGGGGTGTGTGTGTGGTAATTGAAATATGCGCGTTAGAAGGGCTTGTTGAGAGACGAGGCTGCCATGAGCTGGATGGTGTTCTAGCTGGGAGCCTTGATGCGTGCCATCGTAGCACGCACCCATCTTCCCCGGCTCGGCCGTTGGCCATCGGATCCAAGCAGGGATGCACTCCGCCCACCCGCAGTTCCCCTTGGACCACACAAGCACACAGACTCACCTTACCCTTGGACCACACAAGCACACAGACTCACCTTACCCTCAAGCACATAAGCTCACGCAAACCATTATTCACACACCTCTAATTGGCCGGGGGGTCCCAGTAGATTCCATCGTAGCATGCGCCCATCTTCCCCGGCTCAGCAGTGGCCCATTTGATCCACGCCGGGATGCGCTCCACCCATCCGCCGTCCCCCTTCTGCAGCCGGCTCCCTTCACCCTTCCGAACCAGCCTTCTGCCCGACTTTCAAGAATCACCCACCTGATTCACATAACTCACTTTTCCTTAGCCGGAGGGTCCCAGTAGATGCCATCGTAGCACGCCCCCATCTTCCCCGGCTCGGCTGTGGCCCATTTGATCCAAGCCGGGATTCGCTCCACCCATCCGCCGTCCCCCTTCTGCACCCGAATCTTCACCCTTCCGAACCAGCCTTCTGCCCGACTTTCAAGAATCACCCACCTAATTCACATAACTCACTTTTCCTTAGCCGGAGGGTCCCAGTAGATGCCATCGTAGCACGCCCCCATCTTCCCCGGCTCAGCTGTAGCCCATTTGATCCAAGCCGGGATTCGCTCCACCCATCCGCCGTCCCCCTTCTGCAGCCGGATCTTCACGCGCGATCCGTGCGCGATTGCCGGGCGGCCGTCTCTGTCTGGTAGCCGCACGGACCACACGCCGAAGTGGTTGCGCTCCATCCAGCACGACTCGCCATTCCACCCGTTAAAGTCACCCACTAGCTGGGCCGCACTGTGATTGTAAAGAAAGGGGGGGGTGGGGAGGGGGGAAAGGGGGGAGTTAATCATGCGTGTTTCTAGTGGACCAACTATCTTCTCATTCCACCCGTTAAAGTCACCCACCAGCCGGGCCGCACCGTGATTGTAAAAGGGGGAAGACGGGGTGAGGGGAAGGCGGAAGGGGAAGGAGGTATTAGATGTTGACCAGCACAAGCTTAGCCACCCGTGCCCCCCGTGCCACCCGTGCCCCCCGTGCCACCCGTTCCACGTGTGCCACCCGTTCCACCCATGCCACCTGTTGCATTCACCCACCAGCTTAGCCACGTTTCGAGTCGCCTGCTGCAGCCACTCACCCAACTTGTGTGCTATCAATCAAGAGGAGCCCATGAGTTCTCAAAACATGCGTGGCCGCAGGCGCCCATTCGCGGTAGACTATGGTGTGCTTTTGAGTCGACTCAAAAGCAGTAGACTGTAGCGTCCTTCTCACATGTGAAGCCCCACCTTCTCATACCCTGCCCATACCGGGTGGTGATCACCCTTTGCAACTCACTCACACGGTAGCAAGGCCTTTAACCCAGTTCACTTCTTGCAACTCATGCAGCGGCAGCAGGGCCTTAAAGCCCATATCACCCCTTGCAACTCACGTGGCCGCAGGAGCCCACTCGCGGTAGACTATGGCGTCCTTTTCCCGCGTGAAGCCCATCGTCTCATACCCTGCCAGCCAGGCACAGCCACAGGCAAACCACAAGCAGAGCGAAAGCAAGACCCACAACAGAGAATCAGCTTTCCAATGTTATACAGAGCAACAACCTCGGAGAAAACTGCTTCAACCCCCCTTCACGCTGCTCCAGCGCCCTCTTGAGCTTGAGGGAGTGGGCATAGCAGTAGCGCAGATGAGGCTCGTGGCAGGCCAGCAGGGGGGACGGGGGGGCGAGGGTGAGGGAGGTGCCAGGGAATACACCGACTTATGAGTGTCTCACCTTGAGAAAAGAAAACTGCTCTGTCCCCAAAGTGGGCTCTGTCTGAACTCTGCTAATGGCTCACCTCGGGAGCACTGCTCCAGCCCCCCTTCGTGCTGCTCCAGCCCCCCTTCGTGCTGCTCCAGCCCCCCTTCGTGCTGCTCCAGCGCCCTCTTGAGCTTGAGGAACGGGGCGTAGGAATAGCTCAGATGGGGCTCGGGCAGGCCAGCAGCGGATCGGCCTTGACCACGGCAAGCCCATCGGGAGAATACTCCACCTCGCTGAAAACAAGGGAAGTTGAAGACCCATGGATCCCTCCATCTTGTCCTATCATCTCATGATGGCTCACCTCGGGAAAACTGTTCCAACCCTCCCTCATGCTGCTCCAGTGCCCTCTTGAGCTTGAGGAACTGGGCGTAGCGGTAGCGCAGGTGGGGCTCGTGGGACGCCAGCAGCGGGTCGTGCTTGAGCACGGCGAGTCCGTCCGGGGAATATTCCACCTCGTTAAAAATAACGGGAGCGTCATCCCTTGCGGTGATGCCTGCGCTGTCACCAGGAGCAGAGCGGAGGGGCAGCAGGCGACGCACTGGGAAGACCGTGCGGCTTACATGGCACCGGGTGGTCTGGAAGGGTGGAGAGGGGTGGAGGGGGGTGAGAGGTCGGTCGGTGAGAGAGCGCAGAGCGGAGGGGCAGCAGGCGGCGCACTGGGAAGACCGTGCGGCTTACATGGCACCGGGTGGTCTGGAAGGGGGAGAGAAGGGAGTGAGGGGAGGTGGGTGAGAGAGGGTGAGAGGAGGGTGAGAGGAGGGTGAGAGGAGGGTAAGATGCGGTGGGGGTTGAGAAGGGAGGAAAGAAAAGTGAGGAGAGTTACATAATACACGGGAGATACAAGGGGGATCAAGAAGGAACGGAATACAGGGAGAGGTTGCCATAATAAAGAGTGATAACCCGCTGTCTTTTCCCCAGCCCCAGCCCTCACTAAACAGCATTCCACCTCAAACGGCTGGCTGATCCGTGCTTCCTCCAAACCACCTGCAGAAACCTATTCGGCTAGTATCCCCTCCGCTCCCGCCCCCCCATCGTTCCCTTTCGCCCCTCAATTCAGGACCCATCCCAACACTCACTCACCCCTACACCGCTCCACATCAAACAGCCGAGCCTTGCTTCCTCCATACCATCCACGGCAACCTATTAGGCTAGTACTCCCTCCGCTCCCCTTCCCCCGTCGTTCCCCTTCACCCCTCAATTCAGGACCCATGCCAACACTCACTCACCCCAACACCGCTCCACATCAAACGGCTGGGCCCCTTGCTCCTCCGCACCACCACCTGCAGCAACCCACTCCTCCTCGCTCCCTGACGAGAAGAGGGAAACAAGAAAGTCGAGGGAGTGGGGAATAGGGAAAGAGAGAGGCAGGAGCCATTGTCAGCTGGAGGGACGAGCGGGAACGGAATGAAAAAAAGAAAAAAAAAGGTACGAGCGGTTGGGAGAGCTTGAGAGAGGCGATGATGGAACAGGGGTGCGGGATCCAAGCTGAAAACACATCTTTGAAATTACCTGATGCGGCAAATCGCAGGTCATTGTGGCCTTGAGAGACGAGGGAGTGATACCCTAGAGGTACGACGGTGGGGAGACGTATGCACTAGAGAACGGAACCACCGGCGCAGTGCAAACCTGTAACGAAAATGACGTTTCTGCGGTTACCTGAAGCGGCAAGCCCGCAGGTCATTGCAGCCTTAGAAAAAACACGTCTGTGACGTTACCCGAAACCTGAAGCAACATACACGAATGAACTTACCTGACGCGGCGAAGTAACAGGTCGCTGTAACCTTCGCGCACAGGGAGTGAGACCCGAGAGGTACGACGGAGTAGGGGCGACGCGTGCACTCGAGCACGGGAACATGGGTGCAGGCCGATAGCAAACCACGCCAAGAAACAAACAAGCTTAACGGAAGGGGAAAGCGGGACGCCTGAGGTTAGCCTAGCACGGCAGGAGGATGTGCAGCAGCAGATTTTCTGTGCGATGACCTAGATCAGTTCTTGAATCCGTGACGACCTTAACTGAATCACGAATCAGCTGCCGACAAGGCCTCCGCGATTCGCAATCGCCAAAAGAGTGAGTCTCTAGCCCTAGATCGCTGATTCCAGCGCAATTGCTAGGATCTTGAAAGCCCGAATGAAACGGGGCAAACTCTAGTTCTGGAGGCCCGTTCGTGCACCAGATGCTCGGCTCCCCTGAAACGCAGAATCCAACCGCGCTGCTGCAAGAAGGTTCACCGAAGGTGCACCTCCTCCCACACCGCTGGTTCCGGGAGCACTAGCTGCAGCGGCAGCGGCGGCGGCGGCTGCGAGTCGTCTGGCTTCAAAATACTCCTCCCGATCCTCCGGTTTCAGCTCAATTCGCGTGGGATTGCGACGAAGCATCGGTGGCGAACGTCAAGCGACCATCGGTATTGAAATTACTAGTGAATTGCTGGACCGGTCGTGCAATCCTTGCTCAGTCGTCCGATGAATAACCAACAAAGAGAATTGAAGGGCTTCAGCGTTGGACATTCAACGGGTACCCACGCTGCAAACCAGTTGAGCTAGTCTCGTGCCTTATCTCTTATCCGCTTGGTTTGCCGTCGGGCAGAATTACCAGTGAAACACACGCGGAATTTAGGATAATCTACCCTGAACGGCCAATGTCAATGTGTCAGGCCTCTTCATTCAGCGGCTGGTTGGAAGCAGTTCTTTTTTTTGGGTTGCGTAGCAACCCTTTATATTTGGTTTCACATTTTGGGGATATCATTCAAAGAGTGTTATTTACTCACTTTTTGGAGCACTCGTTTGAATGTTTTGAAACTGTGTTCAAACGGATGCCTCAAAGAGTGGATAAAAAACACTCTTGAATGAGATCCCCAAAACATGTAAGCACGTACGTATCATGTTGAAACCATGAACTTGCTCGACCGTCACAACCTCGTCGATAAATACGGCGGATTGTACGGCCGGACATAACATTCTGGCATCGACATGAACGAATGCAATTGTACAAATGAACAACAAGGTATGAGGTGGAGTGAATGCTTCAAAATGAATGTTAAAATGCATCATGCAGCAACAGAGGTTGATGGGGTCGTTGAAACAGCGAAAACACGCTGCCCCAAAGACGATTAACAACCTCTAATTGCATACATAACACATACTAACACCACACTTTGAAACACACATCCCACAAACACGAATGCAAACGCGCGTAAAACCCCAGTGAAACAAACACAATGACAACACATAAACACACACACGCACAAACACACCCGCACCGCACACACATACATACACAAATAGGTTTGGGAGCAGACAAGCATAACAAAGAGTTGCAATAAGTTAATTATGTATCAATCATTGCTACCTTGTCCCCCCCCCTTACTCCCCCTTTCTACCTTCCTTCCTCTCCCTCTACCATCGAAATCTCCTCCCACCCATTTCCACATTGTCTTCTCTCTCGATCCCTCCCTGCTCCCCACAACGCGTCTCGCACACCTTGCAAAACAAACAGGTCAAGCAGAAAATGAATTGTAGTCGGAAAACGGAGTGAACTATTCAATGACGAACACGCACTTGATTGTGAAATGGAACTTGAAAGAAATATGATAAGTACAAAAGATAACCGAATTCGACGACTCACAAGCGTGGTTTGAAGCAAAGATCCCCTGGGGTCACGCACACCACGCTGGTGTGCAGCAAGGCTCCAGCGAGCAAGGTGCCTTGGTGCAACGAGCTGGGCATCGCCATGCTACAAGGTGCCAGAGAGTTGCAGCAAGGCACTGGCAGAGGAGCAAGCGGGCTGCCGTAACAAGGCATGAGCTCACTGCAGCAAGGCATGAGCTCACTGCAGCAAGGCATGAGCTCACTGCAGCAAGGCGTGAGCTCACTGCAGCAAGGCGTGAGCTCACTGCAGCAAGGCGTGAGCTCACTGCAGCAAGGCGTGAGCTCACTGCAGCAACCCGTGAGCTCACTGTAGCAAGGCGTGAGCTCACTGCAGCAACGCGTGAGCTCACTGCAGCAAGGCGTGAGCTCACTGCAGCAACGCGTGAGCTCACTGCAGCAAGGCGTGAGCTCACTGCAGCAACGCGTGAGCTCACTGCAGCAATGCGTGAGCTCACTGCAGCAAGGCGTGAGCTCACTGCAGCAAGGCGTGAGCTCACTGCAGCAAGGCGTGAGCTCACTGCAGCAACGCGTGAGCTCACTGCAGCAACGCGTGAGCTCACTGTGTGAAATGAGTAAGCAGGAATGAAATGACTAAGGAAAGATTGGGTACAAATACAACCCTAGAAACCCTGTACCCCATATGTGCTACCCCACTATAGCCTACAGCAACTATGTCATATAAATCTGACACACCCCCATAGGCAAAGTGGGGGAGAACAAGGGGTCACAAGACCAGTCAAGCAAAGCAAAGCAAGCTCAGGGTGGATCACAAAGTCACCACACAGTCCGAGCACAAGAGTAGGGCCAGAGGCCAGTTCACATGCAGGAGTACAGACATATATATAAAACTAGACAAACAAGAGCAGGCATATATATATGTCACAGTACAAGTGAAGTCAAGAGGAGAGCAAGTGAGGCAAGACAGGCAGAAGACCCAACTGGGTGCAAAAGCGCTGATGGTCACAAGGCGCGAGTGCCTTGGTGAACACATCAGCAGTGTTGGCCTCAGAGGCCACGTACGCAAGTCGCAACTGACCACGCTGCTGCAGCTCACGAGCAAGGAAGTAGCGGAGAGCAATGTGCTTCGTTCTGTGCTCCAAGCGCTGCTCTCGACACAAGGCCAGCATAGCCTTGTTGTCTACGTACAGCACTGGAGGAGAACGAGGCGACTCTCCAAGGCCAGTCAGCAGGTAAGTGAGCCAGCGAAGCTCCTGTGCAGCCATGGCCCCGGCGTAGATCTCAGCCTCACAACTGGAGCCGAGAACCGAAGACGAGCGAGTAGACCGCCACGAGACAGAGCCGGAACCAAGGCTGAAGGTGTAACCCTGTGACGACCGCTGCGTAGCCTGGTCGTCAGCCCAAGAAGCGTCCGCGTGGCCGGTAAGGACCACTGGACTCCGCCCTCCAAGCACTAGCCCCATGCCCGACGTACTGCACAGGTAGCGCAATACCCTCTTCGCTGCAGCCATGTGCTCCGGTCTGTGCCTCCCAGGAGCAACATAGCGTGCAAGAATGCTCAGAGGGTATGCAAGGTCAGGTCGTGTGCAGGTCATCAGGTACATGAGGCAGCCAACAAGCTCTGCATACGGACCACTCGACTCTACGGACTCATCCGAAGGCAGAGCTGAGAGTGAGTGGCGAGTAGGCAGAGGAGTGGCCTGAGGCGAGGAGTACGTGAAGCCGAAGCGCTGAAGGACCTGCTGCACCATGTGTGACTGAGTCAAGGTAATGGTGCGGCGTGCTCTGTCCCGAGTGATCTGCAAGCCAAGGTAGCTGCGCAGTTCACCCAGGTCTGTGCACGTGTGTCTCTTCAGCAGCTCGGACTTCACGTAGGCGAGTCCAGCAGTGTCTGCTGTGGCAAAGACCAAGTCGTCGACGTACACGAGGATGTAGAACGGCGGCAGGGAAGTGTCGGTGCGAAGAAACAGCGACGGGTCAGCAGTAGAAGGAGCAAACCCAAGAGCCGCAAGCGTAGTCCTCAGTGTGTCGTGCCACTCACGCGGTGCCTGGCGGAGACCGTAAACTGGCCGTCGGAGGCTCCACTGGGTGCCAGGAGGGAAAGTCCCAGTGAAGCCAGGTGGACGGCGAAGCCAGATCTCCTCGTGCAGGCTACCCTGCAAGAACGCAGTGCTGAAGTCGAGAGAGTGAAGCTCGTAGTCGCGCTGAGCGGCTATGTGCAGCAGCACCCGAAGAGTAGTCATCTTCGGGGTGGGAGAGAAGGTCTGAAAGTAGTCAACTCCCTGCCGCTGACTGAAGCCACGAGCAACGTACCGTGCCTTGAAGACAGGTGGAGAGCCCGGCGGCCGCTTCACCCTGAAGATCCACATGCCACTGACGATGTTCGCCCCAGGAGGGGGAACCGCGTCAACGTAGGTGCCTGTGGACTTCCAGGAAGCCATCTCTGCATCCATAGCTGCCTGCCACTGAGAGGAGTAGGGACCCTCTACGGCCTCCGCGTAAGAGCGCGGAGTCGGGATATCTAGTGCATCCGGGTCTCCCTCAGGGGCAAGCAGTACAGACGCGAGATGAGGTGAAGCAGCCGCTAGACACTGTAACTCATCCTGCCTGTCCTCTAGGACGTCCGTGCTAAGAGCACACTCACCCCCGACGGACGGAGGACAGACAGACGCAGACTCAGCAACAAGACTAGCAGCGTAGTCGAGACGACAGCGAGCAGCAAAGTCGACGAGCTCAGCGACTAGAGCAGACGCAGCAGTGGACTCAAAAGAGGGGTCAGTGACGACAGTAGCAAGCAGACGCGTGACAGTAGGACTGGCAGCACGAAGAGAGTCCGACTCAGGGTCGGCGAGCGCAGGAAGAGAGGACTCAGGAGGAGAAGGCAAAGGGGCACGCAGAGGAGCAGTGGACGGACGCAAAGACATCCGGTGCGTGCCAGGGACAGGAGGAGGACGCTGACGCGAACTGCGACCACTAGTGCGAGCAGCACGAACAGGCGACGCAGGACGAGACGCAGGCTCACGACGCTCAGCAAGACCTCCAGTAGGACCAGTGTAAGGAGAGGGAGCAGGCAGTGGAGAGGAAGGCTCCAGCAGGGACTGCGACTGGACAGGCAGTGGACCCTCTACCGGAGGAGAAAGACCAAGAACCTGCTGCAAGAGCGGAACGAAGTACGGCCGAGGCCGCGCGGCAGCTCCAGACGCAGCAGGGTCTGCACCAGCACCCTCAGCGACAGCACCAGCGCCACCCACACCTCCAGTGGCAGGACCAACAGCAGTAGGCTCAGCACCAGCTCCCTCAGCAGCTCCAGCTCCAGGAGGACCCGCAGGTCCAGCAGCTCCGGGACCGGCAGCACCCGCACCCACGACGGTCGAAGAAGCTCCAGCTCCAGCTCCAGCAGCACCTCCAGACTCAGCAGCACGCCTCCAGCGGCGAGCGAACCACTCGCGCAGCTCCTGTGGAGAGAGGGGCTTCCGGCGAGACGCAGCAGCAGGAGAAACCCCAGGCTCAGCAGCTCCAGACGCAGCACCCCCAGGCGCAGCAGCTCCCAGCTCAGCACCTCCAGGCTCAGTAGCTCCCGACCCAGCACCCCCAGACCCCGCACCCCCAGGCACAGCACCCCCCGGCTCAGCACCCCCAGGCTCCGCACCCTCCGCAGTAGCACCCTCAGGCCCAGCACCCCCAGCTGTAGCACCCCCAGGCTCAGCACCCCCGCGCACAGCACCCCCAGAGTCAGCACCCCCAGGCTCAGCACCCGCAGCAGCACCAGAGTC